GCTGCTTCTCTCCGTGTCATCTTTCTCTCCTCACTGCCCCTGTGCAGATGATGGTTCCTTCAGTTCTATCTGCTCCTCCTGGCACAGTGTCCCATGGGCCTCAGGCTTGGTGCTCTCCTCTCCCGCATCCTCCCTGGGGGATTCTGTCCCTGCCTTGGCTTTGCTGCATCTCAGCACTGGTAACTCCCCAGTCCATGGATGCTGTCCACATCGCTCCAGAAGCCTGGATAGTACCTCCCAGAGACACCTCAAATTCAAACTTAGGACTCCCAGAACCCCACACACCTGCGGCCCCCACTGTACTCCCCACACACCTCCACCGGAAGCCTGGGCAGCAGCCTTAACACCCCTTTCATCCCATTCTCCCACCCATTTGTCAAGTCAGTGTCTCCTTGGATGGACTGGCCTAAGCTCTGGAACCTTCTGGAAAGGGATTGCAGAAAGACCTTCAACTGTGAAGGCCTTATTGGTGTAAATATCCAGCATCCCAAGGGGACTATCTCAAGGGAACAGATTCATTTGTATGCATACCTTCTGGTATCCATGCTGACCTGAGTCTGACTCTTGTCACCAACATCTGCCTGGGTGGGTCCCTCACGGCCCCCTAGCTTGTTTCCTCAGCTCTAAAGTGGGAAGAAATAATTGTGCCCGCTCCGAGTTTGTGAGCATTAGATAAAGCTGTGGATGGAAAGAACTTAGCTCAAGGGCTGACCACATAGCAAATACTAAGAAGTACTATTTTTACTATGACTTGTGGCCAAACTTCATTTATTTCATTTATTTAGTAAACAAGAGATGAATGACACACGTAGTGCATTCTGGGAGGTGACGACATGGTTTTTCAATCTCTACAGATCAACACACATAAACTGACAGAGCAGATGAATAGCTAAGTCAAAACCCATGAGGAACACTTACTACAAAACTAAATTGTCCCCCCACAGGCCCCAAAATCTAAGTGCGTGGGAACAAACCAGCAACAGTGACAAGACTCCCATGGGAGTGACTTCTGTAGAGAAGGAAACACAAGAGAAGAAACAAGGCAGCAGAATGGACCAGAGAACAGAGAGGTGCAAGACAGCCAGCAGGTATTTATGGGGGGACCCAGCTGGCCAGCTGGGGAACAGTGGCTAAAACCTGGAAGAGCTTGTCCAGTCCAGTGTCAGGTGGGTAAAGGGGCCCTTGGTAAGCTCTGCAGGAGCAGGTCAGTCTGGAACCCCAAATCTCTGTCATCCTCCCGCTGGAGCTCCTTTCTAGAAGGAGTCCCAAGGAGAAACTGTTGGCAGTAGAACCAAAACTGAGCGGGATGGGGACCCTACAGATAAAAGAAAGAGAAGCTCCAGTTAAAAGTAGGCAAGTAGGGTGGCTGGGTGGCTTAGTCAGTTAAGCATCTGCCAGCTCAGGTCATGATCCCAGGATCCTGGAATCGAGTCCCGCATCAGGCTCTTTGCTCAGCAGGGAGCTTGCTTCTCCCTCTCCCTCTGCTGCTCCCCCCTGCTTGTGCTCTCTCTCTGACAAATAAAATCTTTAAAAATAAATAAATAAATAAATAAATAAATAAATAAAAGTAGGCAAGTAGAATGAACCAGGAAATCCCAGATAGCAAGCTGCCTTGGATTTTGACACTTCATGAAAATGACAGAAGACTTTCAGTTAGAAAAGCTACCCTGAACGACATCATCTTCCAAAAGTTCAGGAAAACTAATTTCTAAATCTAAAAACTAAAAAAAAAAAGAAAAAAGAAACAGAGTATCAAAGTCAAATTCCACGCAAAGTTATCATAAGAGGAAGGAAAATAAAGAACAGAATAACATACTTTACAATGATGATTAATCAGAAAGATGTGCCCCCCCCCCACAAAAAAAAAAACAGGGAAAAACTGTAACCTGATAGTTGGGTTGTTTCTTTAATGGTTTCCAGATGAATCAGGCCTTCTGGTATCCATCCCCCGCCCCCCAGCCCCCGCAGTCCCCTCCCACATGGAGTCTGGTCTCGGTCATGTGACTTGCTTTGGCCAACTGGACATCCGGAAGCGTGAAGCAAGCAGAAGCTTGATAAGCATGTGGGAACTGGGTTCTCCTTGAAACTACTGCCACCATGTGAGCAAGCTCACTGTAGTCCCTGTGATGATGAAAGACCATGTAGAGAAAGACCCATTCCACTCAGCTGTCCTCGCTGTGCCCAGCCCCCAGCGGACCCACCAGGTGGATGAATGAGCCCAGCCTAAACCAGCAGAGGAACCACTCAGTCAAATGGTAGATTGTGAGAAATAGTACATTGTCGCTGTTCTAAGCCACTAAGGTTTTTTTTTAAACAATGTTCATTTACACAACTAACGAATCATTGAACACTACATCAAAAACTAATGATGTAATGTATGGTGATTAACATAACAATAAAAAATTATTAAAGTGTTAAAAAAAAACTAATGATGTACTATATGTTGGCTAATTGAATGTAAGTAAAAAAAAAACAATGTTCATTTACTACCTCCAAACTTATTTTTTAACTTCCTTTCTTTATTTTTATCGAAGTATAGTTGACACACAATGTTACATTAGTTTCAGGTGTTCAACATAGTGATGTTCTGCTCACAACTGTAGCTGCCGTCTGTCACCACACAACACTATTAGAGTACCACTGACTATATTGCCTGTGCGGTGCCTTTCCTTCACCCACTGTTCCCATCCCCCTGCCCCCTCTCCTCTGGTAGCCATCGGTTTGTTCTCTGTATTACGGGCCTGTTTTTGCCTTTTGTTTGTTCATTTGTTTTTTAGATTCCGCATATGAGTGAATCATACGGTATTTGTCTCTTTCTGTATTTGTCTCTTTCTGTATTTGTCTCTTTCAGACTTATTTCACTTAGCAGAATATTCTCTAGGTTCATCCATGTTGTCGCAAATGTTGAGATCTCATTCTTTTTTATGACTGGTATTCCACTGTATATATACACCACATCTTCTTTATCCATTCCTCTATCGATGGACACTTAGGTTGCTTCTGTATCTTGGCTATTGTAAATAATGTTGCAATACATGCAGGGATGCATACACAATGCACGTCAAATTACTGTTTTCATTTTCTTTGAGTAAACACCCAGTAGTGGAATTACTAGGTCATAGGGTATTTCTATTTTCAATTTTTGGAGGAACCTCCATACTGTTTTCCACAGGGTGCATTCCCACCAACAGTGCTTGAGGGTTCCTTTTCTTTCCGCATCCTCACCAACACCTGTTGTTTCTTGTCTTTTTGATACTACCCATTCTTCAGGTACAAGGTAACATCTCACTGTGGTTTTGATTTGCATTTCCCTGATGATGAGTGATGTTGAGCACCTTCTCATGTGCCTGTTGGCCATCTGTATGTCTTTTTTTTGTAAAAATATCTGTTCAGATTCTCTGCCCATTTTTAAATTGTATTATTGTTATTAGTATTTTGGTGTTGAGTTGTATAAGTTCTTTATATATTTTGGACACTAACCCTTTAGCGGATATGTCACTTGCAAATGTCTTCTATTCAGTAAGTTGTCTTTTTGTTTTGTTCATTGTTTCCTTCACTGTGCAGAAGCTTTTTATTTTGATGTAGTTCCAGTAGTTTAATTTGGCCTTGTTTCCCTTGCCAAAAGAGACAAATCTAGAAAAATGTTGCTACAGCCAATGTCTCTCTGCCTGTGCTCTCTTTCAGGAGTTCTATGGTTTTAGGTCTCACATTTAGGATCTTAATCCGTTTTGAGTTTATTTTTGTGTATGCTGTAAGAAAGTGGTCCTGTTTCATTCTTTTACACGTGGCTGTCCAGTTTTCCCAGCACCATTTGTTAACGAGACTGTCATTTTCCCATTGCATATTCTTGCCTCCTTTGTCATAGATGAATTGACCATATATGCGTGGGTTTATTTCTGGGCTCTCTATTCTGTCCCACTAATCTATGTGTCTGTTTTTGTGCCGTCGCATATGGTTTTGATCACTACAGCTTTGCAGTAAATCTTGAAATCGGGAAATGTGGTATCTCCAGTTTCCTTCTTTTTCAAGATTGCTTTGGCTATTCAGGAGTCTTTTGTGATTCTATGCAAACTTTAGAATTATTTCTTTTCCTGTGAAAAATGCAATTGGCATTTTGATAGGGATTACACTGAATCTGTGAATTGCTTTGGGTAGTATGGACATTTGAACAATGTCAATTCTTCCCATCTGTGAACATGGTATAAGTCACTAAGTTTTGACTTGCTCTGTTTTACAGTAATCAATAATTAATATAGACATTAAGAGTTAAGATTTAATATAGACATTAAGAAAATTATACAAGACATGAAAGAACAGCATAAAGTGGAATTAAAAAACCCATAAATCAGGCAAGAGAACTCAGGGTAAAAATTAGAAATAGAGGGGAAATTATTTTAGTCATAAATATTTCACTAGAAAGCATACAGAGCAAATAAACACAACAGATAATCTTTAAAAGAAAAGGAGAAAAATGGGAAAGATTTTAAACAGATAAAGGAAGAGATACAAAAGATTTGACAATAACAAATATTGAAAATTTGTAAAGATTCCACATTCAGATAATAGGTGTCCTTAGAGAAAACCAAAGTAAGGGAATGGAATGCTTCTAAAAATGATAACTTCCATCAGACGTCCTTAAGAAAAATCAACTTGAAAATACACATTGGAAAAGCATTGTGTACTTAAGAATATAGACCCCAAATGACCAAGACCAAAGTTATATTCTGGCCACACTGGACATTAATAAAAAAAGAAAATATGGTTTTGTTTGTTTTTGTTTGTGTGTTTTCCCCCAAGCCTGAAGCAAGGCTTTCAAGCTGGGTAGGAGTTCTCTGGAAATCACAGAAGGAGGTCTTCCCGGCAGAGAGGACAGCAAAGATAAAGTGTGAGAGAGCCCAGAACATACTGGGAATGGCTGGGGCATGGTGTGAGGGAGGACTGGAACGCTGAGGCCTCAGGCACTGGGCCTATGGCGCCTGAAAGGGGCCTGGAACACTCACCCATGTAGGGCTTGGTCCCGGCCATGGAGGAAGCCTTTTCTGCTCCTTTCACGATCGTCGCTATGTTGAAATCTGTGATGTGAACATGTCCTGGAGATAGAGAAACAGAAACCCCAGTTAGCAAGAGCTACAGGCAGCGGGGTCAGCTCCTTGTCAATTTAAAGCTGTGGGCTCTATGGTGGGTGCAAGAAGAACGTAGCAGCACTTCTACTTATAATAGTATTTTATCTAATACTTGGAAAATGTCTAGTTTTGCCGCATTATTCACAGTAGCCAAATTTAGGACAACCTAAGGGTCCATCAACGAATGAATGGATAAAAAAGATGTGGTCCATATATACAATGGAATATTATTCAGCCACCAGAGAGAAGGACCTCCTGCCGTTTTTGACAACATGGATGGACCTTGAGAATATCATGGTAAGTGAAATAAGCCAGATGGAGAAAGGCAGATACTGCATGTATCACTTATATATGGAATCTAAAAAAAGCTCATAGAAGCAGAGACTAGAAAAGTGGTTGCCATGGGCTAGGGGATGGGAGGAAGAAGGAGAGTTTAGTGAAAGGTACAAACTCTCAGCTCTAAGATGAATAAGGTTTGAGGATTTAATGTATAATGTGGAGCCACAGTTGACAGCATTGTATTGTATAATTGCAATTTGCTAAGGGGGTAGAACTTGAATATATATATACACACGAACACACCCACACTAAAAATGGCTATGTTATGTGCAAGTTCTATGATGTCAATTTTTTGGTGGCACATGCATATTACTTATAAGTAAATAAAAATATTGATAATTGATAAAAAAAGTTTGTGGATTAAATTTTGGAGTCACTGACTCAGGAGAGTAAAAGCTCCTGGTAAATAGAGGAGAGGGATGAGTCCAGATTGCCTTGCTCGGGAAGCAGAGTGGCCATGCTGGGGGAAGAGGGTGGAGAGAGGATTTTCATGCCCAGAGGACATTATTTTCCACTGTTTGTCTGCTATGGTCAGTGGGGGCAGTACCCGAGGAATCCTGGGGGGAGAGGGCTGGGGATTGAGACCATCTTCTCTCCAGCTTAAAGTAATGGTAGCAGATGGGACATGGATAGGCTGGTTGCTCCTGCACATAAGTGTTCAAGAAACCTGAGAAGGAAGTAGGAGGGACAGAGGCAGAAGGAGACAAGAGATAAAGAGAAGCAGGGAAGGAAGACGGGTGGGAGGGAGGGAGGGACATCCTGATAGTTGGTACTGGCCTTCTGGGGAACTTGGTACATAAAAGGAGCCAGCCCTGAGACCCTTGAATACTAGCTATAAATGCAATCACTTTCTCTCTGGGTCCTCACATCATGGGAAAATGGTTAGATTTTCACATCTGAAAGCTGCGCTTGAGAGGCTGGGACTTAAATACACAGGTGGCTTGCATACACAAAACTGACATTGGGAGGGTCTGGAGGGCACCTCCATGAGATGGAGAGACACCTGCTAGAGCAGGTGCAGTGAGGCCCACGGGACAGGTGCACCTGATAGGATCAGCCACAGTGGACAGCAAAAGCACCAGCGGTTTCATGCAAATTCCAAATCTCAGGCTCAGCTGCCAGCACTGATGTGTGGGCAAGCTTCTGTCAGGCACTCCGTCCAGAGCCCCCGGGTGGGATGCAGCAGTGAGATACTCAGTGCTGATCTGCAATACACTTCCGGTGCTTGTGGGTGAAGCCTGAGTCATCCAGCCAGACCCTTGCTGGGAACCCTTTCTGGCCAGATGCAGAGTGTGTCCACCCAGGGAGCATCCCTAGAGCAGACGCACCTGCTGCAGCCTCTGGGGCCAGAACGAGCAGCCACACAGTCCTAACCCCCGAGAGGCTGTGCGGCGTAGCAGTTGGGTGCACAGACTCTGAGTCACACTGACTTGGTTTGGGTCTCAGCTTTGTTGTGATTAGCTGTCTGAGCTTGGGCAAATAACTTATTTTCCTCCTCTGTAAAGTAGGGGTGATACTAACAAAGTACCCATCTGAGAGCGCGTTTGGGAGGAGCCAGGGATTAATATACATAAAATGGTTAGAGCGACTGGCACACAAGAAGTAGGGAAGCTTCTTGTTAAGTGTTTGCTCCTACCAGTGTTATCCTGCCCACGTGTGGCTCAGATCCCATAGTCTCCAGCCAGCGCCAGTCTGCCCCTGGCACCCTCACAGTCCCCACTTCTAATGCTAACTGTGAGGCATGAGAGGGTCTCAGTCACCTCTGCACCCACACCTGTATGCCAAGTGCAGCCACCACACTGAGAGGATCTGGAGACCCTCCAATATGGCTTTTATTTGGTTTTCCTTCATTTCTCCCTGTCTTTTAAAAATTAGTATTTGCATTATGAAAGTAATGCCGGCTGATTATAATAAGTCAAGGACTACAAACGTGTATTTGAGTCACTCCTTTCAACCCCCTGATGGCTCCCCCCACTCGCACTTGTAACCCTACTAAATGACTTGGCTCTCTGTTGTTTCTCCCTTTGCTTATGCATACATGTATCCACATATGTTGGGACGTGGTTTGTCCTTCCAATAATGAGATCGTACTCCATGGGTCATTCCAGAAGTTACTTTTGCATTTAGCCCTGTATCACGACATTTTCCCACGTCAGTATACATAGGTCTATCTACAAGCACCATAATCCCTTGTCCTCCATGTTAAAGAAATCCAATTATTTTGGTAATTTATTTGGTGATAAAACTTGACCTGGAACTTCTCTTCATTGTTCTATTTATTCCACTTAGGGGGAATATTCATGTTTTGATAGAAAAATATTAATATATTTGATTACACGGTGGTCCCCCTTGGTGATTCATTTAACCCCTATGGAGGTATCACATAATATTTAGTATATGTTATTTTTAAATATTATTATTATTAGAATATTGTTTTCATATTACTAAGATATATATTATTTAATATTAAATCTGAGAAATTCGAGGTATGAAAACCTATCTGGCCCGAAGAGTTTCAAATAAGAAACTGTGGCCCCGTAGCTGCAAAGTATTCCATAGTACCGTTAATATCACATTTTATTCAACAATGATCCTATACGGCATTCAGGTTGTTTCCAGTTTTGGTTGCCTATGTGTTTGTCTTGTTATTGGATCAGCAATAGCATTCTTGAGCACATTGTTACATATTGGTACTTCCATTTTAACTGAATAAATCCCCAGAAGTGGGACTGCAGAGTCAGAGGGTTTGCATACTATGTTCAAACAATTATAATTTATGGTACCTTATTATTATTTTTTAATTTTTTAAAAGATTTTATTTATTTATTTGAGAGAGAAAGAGCGAGCACAAGCAGGGGGAGTGGCAGGCAGAGGGAGAGGGAGAGGCAGGCTTCCCGCTGAGCAAGGAGCCCCATGTGGGGCTTGATCCCAGGACCCCGGGATCATGACCTGAGCCAAAGGCAGACACTTAACCGACTGAGCCACCCAGGGCCCAATTTATGGTACTTTAAACAGGATATGAGAGTGTGTATTTCTCCGAATTGTGATTAGCACCGTAATCAATGATTTCACTTGTCGCAAATCACACGGTGAGGAATGATATCGCACTGCCGATAAGGCTGCACATTTTCCACATGATCAGTCCCCAACCCCCTGGGGAACCGTGTGGAATCTTGATCAATTTTCAATCAGAGCTCTGTCTATGAGATACATTTATACTTTGCTCTGTGTACAGCAAAGATCTCCTAGCTTATTGTCTTTGGACACTGTTTACAGTATCCCTTGCCGTACAAAAATCTTAAAAACTTAAATAATAATATGTTAATTTTATAGTTTGAGTATATTTTCCTTATAATTTTCCAGAAGCCTATTCCACCCCTAAGATTTTATATATCTTTCTATATTTTCTTATAATACTTAATATATCTTTTATATTTAAATCTTCCAACCATAGATATATAAAAATAGAATATATTTTTGTTGTAATATAACAAATGTCTGGTTTTAGCCACTGTTAGGTAGGGTTGCATAACTGGTATAGAATTGGTGCCAAATCTCATGTTAATCCTTGCAGTACTCCTGTCAGGAGGGTGGGATCACCTGCTTTGTTACCTCAAGTTGCAGAGACCAGGGAGCTGTGCATGGTCACACAGCTGATCTGCGGGGAAGCTGCAGTGTGTCTCCAGCCTCTTCCTGGGGTGAGTGGCTCCCTCGGCCCCATGCTGCCCTCTGCAGAGCTGAGCCAGACAGCCCTGCCCTTGCCTCCTCCCGGCCCTCAGGGGAGTGAGGGCTCTGGCAGACAGCTCTGAAGCATACCTGCTGGGGCTCCCCCGGGAATTCACGCCCAGCAGGTGTGACAGACTGCAAGTTCCACTTCTGGTTTCCATGAACTGTGCTAATTGATGAGCTGTAACCTCCCAGTGAGCTTCCTTTAACAATTGAGTGAAGATGTGGGAAAGTAAAAATTAGTGCCACACAAGGCCTCCTACGGGTTCCTCTCAGGAGAATGGAAATTTACTACAAAATTTGCAAATATGAACTCAGTTTTATTAACTCAGGCTATTGGCTTTCCACAGGTTGAAAACATTCAAAACTCAGCAAGAGAAGGAGCTCAAGATGTTGTGTGAGACCCACTAGTACAAGTTTTAATATTGGTATCAATAATCAGTAATCATACTGCCAGCCCTGTTATGCATCCTGCACTCCAGCTATGCTTCTCTCCTCTCTCTGAATGCATGGAAATTCACCTCACCTCCAAGCCTTTGACAGTACTTGAAATGCTCATCCCTCTCCACTGCCCGGTAGACTTCCATTCATTCTTCAAAACCTGGCCCCAGAGTTATAGTACTGGTGGATGTGCATCTGCCCTTTGCTTGCATACTTCCATCAAAGGAAACAGAGGTGGGTATCTGACTGTGTCTTAGTCAGCTCAGGTTGCTATAATAGGATACCACAGACTAGGGGCCTTAAACATCAAACATTTATTTCCCACAGTCCTGGAGGCTGGAAATCTAAGGTCAGGGTGCCAGCATGGATGGATTCTTGGTGACAGCTCTCTTCCTTTGTATGGCAGGTTTCTTGCTGTATCCTCACATGGTGGAGAGAGCTCTGACCTCTTCTTCCCCTAA